CAAAAACCCGCTTTCTGTCGGCTTATTGAAGAGCGCATGTGTGATACGTGACAGGAACACATCGTTAGTGCAGAGTTAAGCACATCTAGACAGAGCAAATGTTTTGCAGTAAAGAAAGAAGGAAATACATCACAAAAGCAGACTTTTTCATGACTCAGAAAATGATAAAAATGTGTTCTCATCTCGTGCAGCAGAACTGGTTCAGTCACAATGCTGCGTTTATAACTGCATGAGAGGATAATAGCCTATATGAGCTGTACGTTTCCCGCTGACATGTTGCAAGCTTAATTTAACATCACAACTGACAAACGTATGGAATACTCTGAGTCAGATACATAAATGATTATATTTTGACGTCCAGTGTTGGGGAAAGTTACTTTTAAAAGTAATGCGTTACAATAATTGGGGGAAAAAAAGTAACTTGTGTTACTTATTTGAAAAAGTAACTCAGATATTCTCTTGTAAATTAAAAAGTAATGCGTTACTTTACTAGTTACTTGAAAAAAGTAATCTGATTACGTAACTCGCGTTACTTGTAATGCGATACCCCCAACACTGTTGACGTCACTACAGGAAAATAACCTGATTTATTAATAAAGTCATGTAAACGCAGCTTACTTGCGTTGTCAGGTTACTGATGTGCATGTAAATGGGGAAAACTGGTTATTTTAAGAAGCTGATATTTGTGAGTTATCAGCTTACCGGTGTGCATGTAAACGGTGTGCCCAATATAAATTTTAAAAGTCGTCAAATAGGTTCATTTTCTTATACAAAAAAATATGACGTGAAACATGGACCTGCACTTTTCTAGACAAACTTCATGAGATCCACTAATGAATATTTGCTGTCTCAAGTCTGATGAATTGTTTAAATTCAGTTACCACTCAGTAAAGACCAGCTAACTGAGGACCAACTGTTGCTGGTTTCTACTCAGTATATATTTCAGAAAATAAGGAAAAACAGTGACTTCTATTCTTTAATCTTATAAACTATCTGTGAGGCCACATGCTTAAATAAAAATGTGTGCTTCAATAAAAAATAAAAAAAAAAGACTGAAGTGAAAAGGTATTTCCCTTTAAATAATCAATTTATTTGATTCCAAAATCACCATCTTTCCAACCATCCAGTTCACTTTTTTTTTATTAAAACAATCCAGATGTTTTATCTACATTAATTTAGACTATCTGAAAACTGCATGTAGTGAAACACTCATACAGAAAGTTCTTTTCACAATCTCCATCACAGAGCTGTTATTGCACAACTCACAACATAAGGCCTCTCATTCAGAAGACCAGGAAAAGCATTCCCTTTGAATAAAACCTGTCTGGATATTAAAGATTCTCCTCAGGAAAGTGATTCACTTGCAACAGAGTTAAAAAAAGAAGTGGCAGTTCACCTCTATATACAGTTCACTTCATTTTTTTTTCTCCCAGAAATAATACACATTTTGGTGATTTGCTGTGTTGCAGCAGTCTGTTTGGTCATGATATGGAATAACATAAGGAATTTAGTTGGTCACTTCCTACAACAGGAAACTGCCCATAAAATAATATCAGACAAAACAAAACAAAAAACTGGACCAAATGTAATGCCATGGCATGATCCGTAACTTCCCCAAGAAACACAAAATCACATGATAATACAGGTTTAACAAACGGCAGAGAACCAAAAGGGAAACAAACGCATCAGGCCTCATTCATGAAACACACACTTCTTTTAAAACGTGGTCGTATACAAGATGCTGCACTCAATTTAACGCTACAATTTACCATATATAGCTGCAACGTTTCAAAATAACTCTAGGAAATGCATATTTCATCCCCAAGTCTAAATGCGCAAATTGTATATTTTGCATATAGAAGCCTATTTTTTACTTTATACATTGACATTTTTGACAATTAAGCTAATTTTCCCACCGATTACGAAACATTCAAAAAAAATAATAATCTCATTACCATAAAGTGAAAAAATGTTCTCATTTTCATAATGCGTACATTTTTTATCATTCGCATTACCATAATGTGAAAAAATAACTCGTTCTCTTTACCGTAACAGGAAAAAATATTATTTCAACAGAATGAAAATTGTAAAGTACATACAAAGATGTAGTTAAGTATTGTGCTAAATGTAATAATATGTTGTAGGGCTGCACGATAATGACAAAAATCATAATTGTCGATTATTCCCTTGAAATTGTAATTGCGATTATTAATTACAATTATCACAATTTACATTGAATGATGTTTATACCACTGTTTGATGCAACTGCATGCCGTATTTTTATATGAAACACTCTAACTGAAAAACTTTTAGTGCTTTTCGATAGTATTAAGCCTCAAATGTCAACTATACATCGGATTGGTTTCTTCTTTAAATTATAAAAAAGTAAAAATATGAATGGTATTATAATGTTATACTAAAACTAAAATGAAAATAATGGGAAAAACCCTTAAGATAACATGTAGAAAGAAAAAAAAAACGCATCTTAAGCACGCAGAATAACATAAGTGGACTTTGAACGATTAATATCTGCTTTGAACAATTACGTAATTGTGGCATCCATAATTGTAATTGCGATTAGAAATTCGATTAATTGTGCAGCCCTAATATGTTGACTAAAAAAGATTTTTACTATTGGATTACAGTAACGCATGATTTACTCTGCAATTTTGCATATTTGACTTTGTCTTTTGATTTCGGGATGAAATATGACCCTTTTTTTCAAGAGAGAGTTTAACAAACAATAAATTCACAAAAAATAAATCAGCTAGGTGTTTCATGAATGAAGCTCGTGGATTCTGTTTTACACAAACTCACTTTAAAGTACTGACAACATCTCAAACCCTACACTCCCAAAAAAATGCTGGGTTAAATACAACCCAGTGCTGGGTAAAATAGGGACAAACCCAGCAATTGGGTTGTTTTGACCCAGCGGTTGGGTTACTACCCAGAAGGTTGGGTTAAACATTTAACCCAACCGCTGGGTCAAAACAGCTCAATTGCTGGGTTTGTCCCTATTTTACCCAGCACTTGGTTGTACCGGTATTTAACCCAGCATTTTTTAGTGTACAGTTTTTTTAGCTCTATTACATTTAGTGCACCTACAATATGAAGACAGTGTTCTTCCTTTAAGATAGTTTACCTCAGTGGATCATGTAATCAGAATGAAACTCAAACAATAATCACCAGACACAATACATACACAAAGAACACAGTATAAAAACACTCATTCAGGCCCGAATTATGGACTGCACCAGCTCTTTCTTTACTTATCACATGATCGCTGTATGTAAGACAAGGGAGAACACAACTGAGAGACTTCCTTTTGCGAGACGCGATCAGCACAACAGCAAATCCTGAGGCCCATCGATGAGGTTTGTTCTGGTAGAGGAAGTCGGCTCATTCAGACGCGAGGTGAACGTGAGGCTCAAGCAAAAAAGAAATGAAAACGAAAGTGCTTGAGTTTGTACTGCCCATTTGTTACTCCTTTTGTAAGTGATTTTTTTTTTGTCAAATGGTACAATGAATGCAAGGCATCCACCGACTGAAGCAGCTTTCAGAAAAAGAGCCCAAGCTTTCTGTAAAAACATGATGTTTGTTTGGTGCCGTCTGCTTTTGATTCACACGATGAGATAAGTTTAAGGGCTAAAAAAAAAAAAAAAAAGACAAAACAAACCAGAAAGTTTTAACCTCTTTCAAGGATACCATGTCCAACCGCCCAACCAAATTTTGACTGTCATCTTCGCTGCTGATGTTGTTTCGTTTTGATTCCCACACAAGGGGGAACGGGAACGAAAGGCAGATGTTTTATCCGAAGAGGTCCTTAAGATCGTTGTTGACTGAAGCGCTTTGTTTCATCACCCCAGCGTTGATTGTTGAAGAGGCCACAGGTTGCGAGAAGTTCTGAGGGTTGAAGAACGGGTTTGCTTGCATTCCAAAACCACCTTGAACTCCCGTCATCCCCATCGGAGTCGCCTGCATGGGTGCAGTCTGGGAAGGTTGGCCTGTACCATACTGACTGAGCCATGGGGAGGGTGCAGTGGCTCCTGGGGCCGGTTTAGGGGCCATTTGGTTCATGCTGACTTTGGGTTTGCTAGAAGTGAAGAGGGAGTCTAGGGCTGACATGTCTGTGGGCTTGCTGGGTTGGTTTTGGTTCTGGGTGAGGGCACTGAAATTTGGAGCGCTGGTAGTGGTGGCCATGCCTCCATAAAGGCCAGGAGCAGCGGGTCTCATGCCCATTCCCATACCTCCCGTCTGGAATCCCATGGGCGAGTTAAAACCGTTGCTGACGCCCATAGTGCCCATTCCACCCATAGTGGGTCCAGCTGGGAAGGTAGAGGATACGGTGCTGCCCTGCATGGGTATCGTCCTGGTCCCAGAGTTCAAAGAGAGGTTGTTCACAGATGTCATGGTGTTCAAAAGACTGCTGGTCAGATCCTTCGCCTTGAACAATAAAATTAATAAAAGATATGTAAAAAAAAGAAAAAGACAAAATAAACATTCTTTAGTTATAGTATGCACATCCCAAAATCTAAATAGACCCTATTCACAGACCGTGATGACACACTTCCACAGTTATTAACATTGTAAATCTAGCAAAGATTTTTGTTATTTAATGTACATTTATAACATTGTACTTTGTGTTATATAACCTTGGCCTTAAATTACATGAACTAGCTAACACTGCTGCAAGTTTGTTTCGGCTGAGGGAGTGACAATAAATTTGACAAAAAAAAAAAGGCTTGAGGTTATGTACTATTTTTACAATAAAGAACTGAAAATTACGCAAGCAAATAAAAAAACTAAAAGGTAAAATATCTACAGATATTGATTATTTAAAAACAGTACATTTAAAGGGTTAGTTCACCCAAAAAATGAAAATTCTGTCATTAATTACTCACCCTTGTGTTGTTCCAAACCCGTAAGACCTTCGTTCATCTTCGGAACAAAATTTAAGATATTTTTGATGAAATCTGAGTGCTCTCTGCCCCTCCCATAGACAGCAAGGTAACTACCACGTTCAAGGTCCAGAAAAGTACCAAGATGATCGACAAAGTAGTCCGTGTGACATCAGTGGTTCAACTGTAAAGTTACGAAGCTACGAGAATAATTTTTTGCGCAAAGAAAACAAAAATAACGACTTTATTCCACATTTTCGTCTCTACTGCGTCACTTTGGACTTGCGTTCACGACAGTACCATGACGCGAGCGTGTGGCGGCACCGGCCCTGACCCAGATCCGGCATAATGACGTCATCACGCCGGATCTGGGTCAGCACCGCCACACGCTTGCGTCATGATACTGTCGTGAATGCGAGTCCACACTTTGTCGATCATCTTGGTACTTTTCTGGACCTTGAACGTCGTAGTTACCTTGCTGTCTAAGGGAGGGTCAGAGAGCTCTCAGATTTCATCAAAAATATCTTAAATTGTGTTCCGAAGATGAACGAAGGTCTTACGGGTTTCGAACAACACGAGGGTGAGTAATTAATTACATAATTTTCATTTTTGGGTGAACTAACCCTTTAAAGAAATTTATTGTAAAAGATTCAAATATAAAAGCAGTTTCAGAGTGTAGGGAGACTGGCTTGATTTTTACTTCAGAAACCAAGCAACCATAAAGTCAAACAATAAAAAAAAGATAATATTTTAACCAGCAAAATGTGACTCTTCATTTCCCATAAAGATTCTGTTATCACTGGTTAGAAACACACACAGTCTTTGTGACACATTTAATAGCATTTTCCCATTTAGAGGTCACAAGTACACAGGACCCACTGTATTCATGTATTCATGCAATGAGTGAACAACATTGTAACGTTAATGGTTAAAGCACAAGGCTTGAAAAATGCATGTTATTAATTACATTTAAAATTATAGCTTTGTTTTTTTTTTTTAATATCACCTGTTTCCAAGGAAATTATTCTATTACTTTTTCTTAATAGTTACAAGTGGTGTAACCATCCTTAAATCATTAAATTAGTAGCAACATTGACGGTGTGTAAAATTATTTTCAATAAAAATAAAATTCATAGAATTATTATAATTATTTTTAGACGACTCAACATTCTGAGGTTATATGCAGCTTCAACACTTCCGGTACAGATATAATGACAAATAACACAAAGTGAACGCTGGTGTGAATATGAGATATTTTGAATACCTTTCACCGGAAAATTCAATCTGGTAATTTCACTGAAAAAATGAATTCCTTATGTGAAAGTGACAATAGGTTTCCAATGAGAACTCTGTATAGTGTATGTGTTACCTGAGGTGTCGTTGTGGCTGGTTTGACACTCTGTGGAGCCAGTGGCTGCTGGCTTCTTAGTTTAGCAGCCTGTTCCTGTTCTTTAGCCAAACGCTGCTTTTCTTCCAAGGTGAGAGACACCTGAACGTACCACAAACAACAGTTAGCACATCAACCAGGTCTAATGCCAACAACCACCTAAGCTTCACAAAAAAAACATGTAGTTAAGCAATGCAGTGCCAAAATATAATAAATGATTAAGACGCACTCACTCGTGAGGGTTGTGAAACAGTAGACGAGGAACCGTTCTCTTTACCATTCACACCTGCACTTCCTGAACTGCCACCAAAGATCTCATCGATCTATTAGACCGCAAAGAAAAACACAATTGCAGTTAATTTCACAGCATGGCCACATTTCAAAGCTGTGGATTGGTTGCGGGACATTCAACAAATGTATTTACTCACATCTCTGACTTGTGTGGCTGGGCTGGGTGTGTTCTTAGTCTCTTCTGATTGGTTCATGTGGTTTGTAATGTTTAAACTCCTGAAAAGGACAGAATACTCATTACTCAACAACTGTTTGTTCGGATAATGCTGCATTCGTGTCATGTTGAAATGACTATAATTATAAGTTTAGATCTATCAGACGGCCTGTTTAAGTGGGCAGAATAAGTTGCCGTGTGGACCAGGCTTAATGACGCAAGCAGCTGCCCCACTTAAAAGTCAACTAAGTCTGAGAATGTGAACAGCTCGATGTAGAATCGCTTTGCAGTCATGTGAATGCAACATAAAAAAACAGAATATTTTTTATGAATAAAACTGCATTTTAAGAATGAATTAAAATGGCACCTTTGCTGCTCTTGCATGATGTGCAACTGCTCTAATTTGGTCTTATGCTCCGCTTCCATGCGATTCAACATTTCCTTGACCACAGCCATAAAAGAGTTAAACTGAAACAGAGTCAGAGACAGAAAACTGTTTAAAAATGTGTGTGAACAGAATCTATACAACTGAACTGAAGTGACACTGAATCGAGTTTATATTCTGTGGATGAAGAAGAACACCCTGACGTGAATGCGTGTTGTCACCTGGTTAAGGTTAAGGTTGTTATCAATACTAAGTGACACCAGATGTGGTAAACTCTTTCCAGCCAGGTGCTCTTTTGGGATGCCCAGTTTCTTATGGGTGAAAGTGCACTTGTAGATGCCTGAAAAATAGCACATTATATATAACTTAGTTTAACTTCATGTAAGAAAGTCTCAGTCATCCATGAAAAAATGTGAAGAAAGAGTCAAGTGAAAAGAAAAATGAATCACCCAGAATGCCCATGAGCACAGCTGGTTCCCTGGATGGAATTTGTTGCAGAAATGGTAGAATTTCATCAATGACGAACCATTTATCCAGGTATTCCAGGATCTTGCCTAGGCACACCAAAGAGTTCACCCTCACCTGAAAAAGGACAACCAATGGAGAAATTAATCTTCCTTGATAAAAACAAACCTCATAACTCCTCTTCCAAACCGATCATTGACATTCACTTATGTTACTGGAAAACATAAGAGGCATGAGGACACAAACCGCTAGTGAGGATGTCTGTAAACAGGCAGATTTGATACGAGGGATAAGTGCATTCTTCATAGACGGGTACTCTATTAGATTGGCAAACGTGGGAATGATATTCAGACAAAGTTCCTGTTTAGGAGAAAAACAAAAACAGATGTTATACTTTAATATTTTGAAATGCCTAAAATGGGTGTCAAAAAACACTGATGACTCAAAACACATCAACCGGACAATTACATGGTACTGAAGATAATTATCAATTAAAATACTAATTAAACAAACTTGAAAATCAAATTAATGATGTACTATGATTTTCTTCTCATCCAAACAAGTTTATGGTGTGGTCACCTGTATTTGAGTAGAGGGGGCCTCCACTGCTCTGTACACCATGGGCAGAACACTGTTCTTGATGTCTTCAGGAGGCGTTTTGGTCAAAAGTAGGTCCATCTTTTGTAGAAATATCAGCAGGATCTGGATATATGAAAGAGAATCAAGAAAATAATTTGATTCCTAAAGGCCAACCAATGAATATGAATCACTAGAAAAACAGAGAAAGCTAAACAAAAACAATGCTAAACAAAAGGAAAAAATAAATAAAACAACTCGAAACAAGAAAAAATAAAACAAAGCTAAACAAAACAAAAACAATGCTAAACAAAAAGGAAAAAATAAATAAAAACTCGAAACAAGAAAAAATAAAACAAAGCTAAACAAAACAAAAACAATGCTAAACAAAAAGGAAAAAATAAATAAAAACTCGAAACAAGAAAAAATAAAACAAAGCTAAACAAAACAAAAACAATGCTAAACAAAAAGGAAAAAATAAATAAAAACTCGAAACAAGAAAAAATAAAACAAAGCTAAACAAAACAAAAACAACAACCAAACATACTCATGAAAACCACATTAAAATATCAGTGGAAACAAACAAGTGCAGCCAAAATACTATAAATAAAAATATAAACTTAAATATTATGATGAAATAAACTACCACAAAGACAAACGTTCAAACCTCACTCACCATGTTGCTGGCCTGATAGCATGAAAGAGAGAAAGTAACAACCAATTTGAACCTTTTGGTTTACACAGGCATGCGACAGCCATTGCAAGTTCACATCAAGTGCGCCATTTAGAACAGGGCCAGAAAGGTTAAGTGGCAGCTTAGTCCTAGAGCAGGGCTGGGCCATGTCGGTCCTGGAGGGCCACTGTCCTGCAGAGTTTAGCTCCAACCCTAATCAAACACACCTGCCTGTAGCTTTCTAGTGATCTGGAAGACATTGATTAGCTTGTACAGGTGTGTTTGATTAGGGCTGGAGCTGAACTCTGCAGGACAGTGGCTCTCCAGGACCCACGTTGCCCAGCCCTGTCCTAGAGTATATGAGCTAGTATGTGGAGGGGACGACGGAAGGGTTTCATGAGGTTGCAACACTTTTATACATGACTTTGCGATATTACATAGATTGATTTTACTGCTACAGAACACACTGAGTGGGATGGGGGATGGATCAGTAGTATATGTCTGTGTACCTGTACTGGCTCCTGCTGTTTGAAAACTGGGGTGAGGTCTGGGAGAACGAGGCGGACGTATTCCTCCTTTGTGCACTCCTCAGCAATGAGCAGCACATTTGGAAGGACAAACGGAACCATGTCGGGGTTCACAAACTCAGACGTGAGTGCCGGGAGGATTCGATATACTATCACTCTCTGAGGAGAGAAAAAAACAGCAGATAATTAGCTTAGAAATAGAAATATACAGAGCTACAGCAAAAACAGAAGTTTTTGCTTGTTTCTCTGCTGCATGAGGTCTATAAAAAAAATTAGGTAGGTATATAATAAACGCCAATCAAATACATTATTGCTAGTTTCACTTGTTAAATGCACTGCAAATCGCATTATATGTTCCATTTTCCATTTCCATGCTGAATTACTTTGTGCAAATATTTGTTCTTGCCTTGGGCAACTTGGGCAGAACTTTTGGGAGACCTCTGTAGAACTGAGACTTCTGTAAGTTGTCCCGCTGGAAAAGCGAGTCAAAGTACTGAAGGGTCATCGCTCCAACATCATCGAAGAAGGGAATCTGAGCACATATATACACTGAAATGTCAATTTCACTCTCAATCACAGTCTTACCCACTCATGTTAACATCATGTATGGTAAGTACAGATACTGCAATGAAAGATTTTATTTTATTTATTTTTTTTAAAGGGAGAAAGGTTTGACCTTTGTCATCTGATCTGCGTCTGGACGCACGTTGGAGGTGACGTTGAGCAACATCTTCACATGATCCCTGACCTCCTCTGGGATCTGACTCAATACTCCTGGACTTAGATAGCTCAGCTACAAACAAGAATGAGGAACATTTATTCTTATTTGATTAATTATTAATACTATTAATTTTTAATATTATATATCATCAAATGTTGTGGCACTGCTGGTATTTTGAGGCTTGGCTCCTGCATTACTACTATAGCACTAGTCTGTGAAACACTGTTTTGGGACAAAATGGGAAGTTAATCTGCCTTAAAATAGGAAGGTAATTCCACAGTTGTGTGGAAGGAATTGCCTCACTGACATTATAAAACTACTCAATGTATGAAATGCGTTGTTTGGACTCACCTGGTCCAGTTGTCGGCTGAAGCTCTTGAATATGTCCTGCTTGTTGACCTGAAAGACGGGCTTGCCTTCATTGAACACGGCGTGGATCAAGACGCCCAGTGAGTACATGTCAGAGGCCGCGTCGCAGCTGACGGACAGGATGTACTCCGGAGCGACATATTCTGGGTTCGGGAGGCAGAGAGGCGGGAGATTGGGGTCCCACTCTTTACAAACATACTTGGGCTAAAAGACAGAAATACATAACATCTGTTACGAGACAGAAGACAACAAGACAGCTCGCTTAAGTTTGGAACAGAGATAGCTGAGAGTGTTCAGACTGCATTGTGTCTGTTCTCTGGGACTTTAGAGACAATAATGCTTGTTTCTAACCTCAGCGTCAGACGGGTTACTAGAGGAGATACTGAAGTCAAAGCCCATGATCTTCCAGGCTCCGCTCTTATTCAAGATGATGTTCTCTGAACACAAGTTGCCATGAACCATTTTAACCCCACTGTGAAGGAACGACAAACCCTCCGAGACCTGAGAGAGAAAACAGAGTCAAAGAGAAAGACATTTCATTAGCTATAAAACTAAAACTAAATAGTAGATGTTGTTGCACTGCCTTTAAAATATTCTTTTGTAAAAGAATATTTATTTGATATTTATTTATTTAGACTAACAACTATTTTATTATTTAAAAAAAATATTATTGTATTACAATAAAACATCATGTTAAACATTCGGATGCGTTATCTTGGAATAATTTATGCAATTATTTTTGGTCCTATACAAGATAATGTTGATTGTAAATAAAGAAAAAAAGTTCTCTCTTTTAAAGAAGCAGCAAAATTTTGATGATAAAATTGCATAAGAAATAAAATAAAAAATAAAAGATATTTGTTAAATTGTATTATATACAAATATTGAGTAAAACTGTGTGTTAGCAGTAGTTTCTAATTTTTTCTTTGTCACTTTGGGGTGACACATCACTTCAATAGAAAAAAGTACCTGTTTTTTAGATGTATAAGAAACGTCTCACCTGCAGTAAGCCGTATTTGGTCTCAACGTCGTAGAGTTTGTATTCTTTGATGTCTGTGGGAACAGGACTAGGGAGGTTGTCCCACTGGCCGAGCACATTCGCTAGACTGGCGAACACGGGCTCGGTGCAGAACGCCAGACAGTCTCTAGAGATCAAGAGACAAAGACATCCAGTGAGAACAGCAATGACAGATAGATAAAAGCACGGAAAGTAGGAACCTGGTTGTGTTTGCAACCTTGGGAGTCATTTCTGAGCCACACTGCAAATACACATAGCCGTTTTCTGTATATTTCCAGTATTTCTAAAGCTAAAATTTAAAAGTAGAAAGTCTGATGGTCCATTTAAAAAACTAGTGACCTGGCAACATTTTTTTTTTATTCCATCACAGGCATGTGTACGGTCATTAATGCAAATACGATACTTAATTTTGACCATAATCTAAAGCAGCAACACATGCATACTCACTAATTAAAGCAATCCCAGAATGCACTACACTGAAATTTGTCATGCAAGATAGTGGATGGAGCACAGAGGTTAAGGCAGGGGTGTCCAAACTCGGTCCTGGAGGGCCGGTGTCCAGAAGAGTTTAGCTCCAACCCCAATTAAACACACCTGATCCAGCTAATCAAGCTCTTACTAGGCATACTAGAAACTTGAAGGCAGGTGTGTTGAGGCAAGTTGGAGCTAAACTCTGCAGGACACCGGCCCTCCAGGACCAAGTTTGGGCACCCCTGGGTTAAGGTAAAAATATTGTATGCAGTACAAAAACTTGTCATTTTTGTGCTCATTAAAGCATTGAGCTGTCAGCACAGCAACATGCTAATTTCAGACTACTGGAATGAACTGTGAGGCAGGAACTGACCAACAATGAATTGAAACATTGTTTACTTGCACCCACTTTGTTGTTTTAGCACCAAATTCACTAAAGGAATGCAACTGGTGTAGTGAGTATGTATGATCAATAAAGTGTGCCAAATCTGTCACTTCTAAGGTTCCATGACAGTTAAGGCCTGTTCACTCCAAGAATGATAATATAGCGATACTTATAGCGAGAACTACAATAACGTCCATTATAGTATATAATATATAGGCTTAAGTTTTTTTTTTCCCTGCTATGTTGTGACTAGGGATGTAATGATTAACCACGAGCCGGTTGAAAATCGATTTAAATATGTGACGATTCAAATCGGTTGAGATGCTAAACAAATCGCGATTCAATTAGGGGTAGGAGTTTATATGAATGCATGTCTGAGGGGAACTTACTGTCTTTAGTAAAGTTTAGATGGTATTTTTTCTTTTCCTTTTCCTCTGCCTCTGTATAATGCATATTAAAGGGGTCACATGATGCGATTTCAAGTTTTCCTTTCTCTTTGGAGTGTTACAAGCTGATTGTGCATAGATAAGATCCCTGAAGTTGCAAAGACTAAAGTCTCAAAACCAAAGAGATATTCTTTATCAACTGTTTTGTTATTAGTTTAAGTATTTGCTATTGACTGTTCAAATGCGGAGTTTTGCGCATTGTGTGTGTGTGTGCGCGAGCGAGAGCGCGAGAGAGAGCACGAGAGAGAGCACGCGAGAGAGAGAGCGAGAGACAGAGAGAGAGAGAGCGCGAGAGAGAACGAGAGAGAGCGAGAGAGCGCGAGAGAGAGAACAAGAGCATGCGAGAGAGAGCGAGAGAGAGAGAGCGTGCGAGAGAGAGAGAGAGCGAGAGACAGAGAGAGAGAGAGCGCGAGAGAGAGAACGAGAGAGAGCGAGAGAGCGCGAGAGAGAGAGAACGAGAGAGCACGAGAGAGAGAGAGAGAGAGAGAGAGAAAGAGAGAGAGAGAGAGAGAGAGAGAGAGG